AAAATTCATCAGAATTGCTTACCTAGTCTCCTTCTCTAAATTTATGGTGTTTTCTTAGCATTTTTGGCCGTTTCATAGGGCGATTTCAACGAGTTTTTGTAGTGCTGCCGTTGTTCGTTATATATACCACATATATACGTACGACGGCATATGTTCGCTATATTTAACCATGCTATGAAATTTGTACCGGTGACACAAACAGTGAAGTTGGGTTACCTGTAATTTGAAAGAGCAAAATGGATCTCTAGACGACGGCCTAGAAGTATCAATTGATGGAGCGGATATTCCGCTATTTTAAAACTCTCCTGATAATTTCCCCGAAAGCATATTAGTTTTGTTGAGCTCAGTGTTACAGTTATGAGAATAAACGCCTCTCTCTTTTACACGCCTATCTATTAATCACCCCAGCTTGGACCCCTAAAACTAAATAGACGGCCCGGGTGTTTATTAGGTCATATGGTATTGCAAATTTCCGGATATTTCCTCAGAGATTTCCACGTCAATAACCTTGTTTTTCAAATTCATTGGTACTGATCCTAATTCCCCACTACCACTGGACTAACCTTTGACCTAATACCCCTTATTTTTGGAACTTCTCTCGCAGTGTCTTGATACTTTTCAGCTTTTTCGTCTTTCTTTTCCCTCACCCGTCCATCCTTCGGAATTTATACCACGTCCATAATTTGACAGCTCTTGTCAATGATAACCAAATCCAGTCTCATGGCCTCAATTTAAATCTCTGTTCGAATGTTGAAATGCCACAAAAATTTCACACTTCCCAAGACATGGCCATACCACCTTTCATTCCGCTCAAACCCACACTTTCCTGACAGGTCCTAATGGACCGCTCTTGTTTGACGGATGTAAAGCAAAGAGTGGAGATTAACGGAATCGAAAATGAATTTTCTCTGATTGGCAGTACCAGTGTATTGTGGTTTTCCTCAAAGTGTTCAAGAGTGCTTGCCATTTACATCGAACTTACACAAACCACACGGGTGGAAATCTAGTTGGAGAACGATTCGCTCAAATGTATATCTAAATCAGCTGAACAGACTAAAAAGAATACTGAGAAAACTTGAATCACCACAAATTACAGCCCATGTTTTCCTAAGCTCCCCAAACGGGATAGGCTCGATTTCAGCCCCTCTCTCGGCTGGTAATCGAGCCCCGGAGGGTCTCTTTTAGGGGTCAAAAAGAGGTTGGGCCACGCCCAGATCGGTCTCCTTTAGGGGTTTAATTCAAAATTTCCGACGAGCATCCTCACCCCTTTCGTATGCGGAGTCCGTCAACCCGGAAATCGAGCCTACAAACGGGATGGCGCGAACCATTTGATTTTCCAACCAGAATTTCCGGTTTTCCCGTTTAAATCATTGGTCCTCCCCGAGACTATATGCTGACGACACTACCGTCTAAACATCTGGATACAAACACTTCGACTTTGGCACTGTCTCTTAACCTCGTTTTTGAAAAGCTTTCATCTTGGTTCACCTCACAACATCCGGATTATAGTCAATGGCAAGAAAACCAAAGCATTGACTCTAAGTAACCCCTCTCGGTAACCTGTTCTTCATATTGGCGACTTTGTTATCGCACTGTAAATCACTGAGAAAGATCTGTTTTAGCCCCAAAAATGGGACCGTTTCGAAGAGTAAAATACAGTCCTTCTTTTTGGGTCTAATGTGGCTCCTTTTATTACTCAGGGATGATTTGGACCCAAGGGCTGAGTCATGGCGTGGGTTGGAATAGGCTTTTGATGGGGCTGTTTTGCTTTGAATTGTGCTCAAATGGCTTCAGGAGAGGGTGCAGGGCTGAATTGGCACTTTAGGCTGAAACAGATCTTTTTATTTTCAAGTGTAGTTCACTTCTATCAGGGATTAAGAAACTTCTTTAAAATAAACTTGGGAATCTCTTTTTTAACCGTCACTGGAACATAAGCTATCAATCTCTCCTCCTTCTCTTAAAATGTATAACGCAAACGGACAAACATTTCAGGTGACATTTTAACCATTGGGATTCTATAGTAAATTATTAGAGGGGTGTGTGAGGATTTAAATGGATATCAGTTTTTTGGCAGTAGGGTTTCAATCGTTATTTTACCGCCAGGGCGTGTAAGGGTCACTGTCATTTCAGTATTTCTTACATTTTTCTCAATTTTTTTTAACTGCTGTCTATATTTGTTAATTTGTTCGTTTTCATGGTCATTATGGTCATGCGTTTAAAGCATGAGTATCCAGCTCGACAACCCATCATCCAACACTGTAATCGTGACGGCGGTTCAGAAATTGATTGAATTGAAAACGATACTGAGCATCATCAAAGATGGCACCAGCCCATTTTGCAGAATGCATTGCAAGTGATTCACACATTTATGTCTGGCTGCCCAGGCCCAGAAATTGCCAAGACTAAATTCATTCGAAGCGCCGGTGACGCAGCATCATCAGAACATGCATATTCATAGGAAGGTGTGCCAGAACTATAACATCATGACAAATGATATATGGTACGAAAACAAACTAGAAACTGTTGTAAAAAACGAAGAAGGAACGATTTTGTGGTACATGCCAAGAAATAGCGGCTAATAAAGCAGATATCATAATCAGAGACCTTACTAATCAGAAATTCCAGATTATTATTATTATTATTATCACTATAAATTCTTTTATTGATAACAAAACTAACTATTAAAACCTTTTTCCAATTAATTTCACTGAAGAAGAAGAAGAAGAAAAAATATATATATATATATATATTAAGTCAAAGCACTATTTACAAGTCATTTCATTTCATAAGCTCCTGTTCATTTCGATTGAAAAAAAAAATCATTTCAATTACTGTAAAGAAAACTCATTTTAATTAAAAACAATTCATTTCGATTAAAAATGAATTTAAAATATTAAAAAGATCCTAAAATACTAATTTACAAGCCCACGCCACCATCACCCTCTAAAATCAGCGGACACTCGCTTGGCTAGTGTTTAAGCGGCAGTCGTCAATGAAATCCTGGCTTGTGGAATTTTGTGGAAAGGTGTCCTGGAACCTCTTACGCATATGTGTACCGACCTTAAAATCTCAAAAGAAAGCAAAGTTCTAATCATTTGATAAGGCTCCTCATTTTTTCTGAGAGCTTCTCGGCTAGCCAGGCGTTTGAGAAAGCAGTTGCAGTCGGATCCCATCCCACCGTTGGTTTCAAAAACTAGGGGAGTGAAAGATCCCATTTCAACGTCCAGTACCCTCTGTTGGTGGTTCCTCTTTTTCTCCTCCTCCTGCTTCTTAAAGATTGTGGATGTAGTTTTTCCCTGGTTACACTTGGAGTTAACATGCGTTACTCTGACATCAAAAAATGCTGTAACTCCACTAGACCAAAAGTCCCCTGCTTTAAAAGACGAAAAGCCCCCTGCCTATTGGTTCGAGATGATTCTCGGGATTACTATTATTCTTTTAAAAGTGATAAATAACCAAATTCTTAAAAGAAATGGACTTTCCTCCAGAGTGCACACGATGTAATATGAAATTAACTAAATTTCATATCATGTAGTTAGTGTGCCGCCACTTTGAGAACTGCTGATTCATGGTACATTGATTTCATCAATAAACTTGACCATGAGAAAATGAGCTATTATTTCTCTCTTGACTAGACACGTCCACAGCCACTTTGGCAATGCAATGCTCTCCCCTAGCCCTCAGGAAGGCCTGATACTCGGGCTCCGGAAAATGACTCATCATTGTGAACCACGTATCTCCTAGGATAATGTTTACATGTGACCGGTTCAAAATAGACCTAATCCGATACAGGGAGAAACGGACCTGGTGTGATCCGCCGCACGTGACCGGTCTGTTATGCCCGCTGTTGTGGTCTAGTACTCTTAGGCCCGGGCTCTTAGGCTACTGTATCGAAATGAGGAAAGCAGAGGTTTTATTAATTTACATACGAAGTCGATATGAAGAGTGAAAATAGTGTTTTTACTTGCCCGTGGCCTGTAGCTATCTAAATATACTATTGGAATCTCAGGTTATTGACTTACGGCGAAAACGTTCAAGTTTGGGGCACCATAGAGTGTTTTCACTCACGTGGCCAGCATCTATGCAAATTTGTTTGCATAAGAAAAGAGGATTAGTTTGGGACACCAACATGGCCGCCGTGACGTCATGTGAAAACACTCTATGACGCGTATGACGTCATGTGAAAACGTTCGTAAAGTCTTTCGGCTGGACAGGTGAATTATCCCTAGAAAATACTATTATAAATTACTGGGCCGTGTGACGTGAATTTCATTTAAAAAGACACTAAGTAATTCAAAGGTTGAATAATCCCGAGTACAATATTGGAGATGAATAAATTTGACTAGTACCCAAGCCTAAATGAGACAATTTTTGCGCGACCTTGCAAGCCGCACGTGAGGTGAACGTATATCACTGAGAAAGTTCGGTGGATAAGTTGAATCGATCCTTTAAATTTCTTAATAGTCAGCTTGTTTTTGAATAAAGTAAAACATTCTTTGTCAGTTTCGCCATGAAATAAGTTTTTGAACGAAAGTTACGTAATAATAAACGCGGGCTACCTTCAAGGAAACGTGACTTNAATTCAAAGGTTGAATAATCCCGAGTACAATATTGGAGATGAATAAATTTGACTAGTACCCAAGCCTAAATGAGACAATTTTTGCGCGACCTTGCAAGCCGCACGTGAGGTGAACGTATATCACTGAGAAAGTTCGGTGGATAAGTTGAATCGATCCTTTAAATTTCTTAATAGTCAGCTTGTTTTTGAATAAAGTAAAACATTCTTTGTCAGTTTCGCCATGAAATAAGTTTTTGAACGAAAGTTACGTAATAATAAACGCGGGCTACCTTCAAGGAAACGTGACTTACTAATCCTTGGCGCGTGAGCCATTCACGTGGCTGTATACGTGAGTTACGCAACATTAGCATTTAAAAACACACTCGCGCACCGGTATTTTGTATTGAGTTTTCCAGAGTTGAGTGGAACAACTGCACGAACCATGGCAAGAGCAAATAATGCGTTCAAGATAGCGGCCACCACAATCAACTTGATTGTTTTCGTCCTAGTTCTAGTCTTCAATTACGTCTCCACAGATCCGAAAGATGGTCCTTTGAACTGGCTGTTTGGAAATGCAACAACGGGTGAAGTGTCGGGCAAGTACTACATCGAAATCACACCAGCAGGCTGGGCATTTTCCATCTGGGGTTTGATCTACGCTTGGCAAGGCGCGTGGATCATCTACTCGTTGACTCTTCTCTGCAGAAAGAACGCCCCGGAGGTAATTTCGCCTGTCCTCCATGTGTTTTATTCGCTCGCCAGTGTGACGAACATTTGTTGGATAGTAATCTGGAGCCACGAGTGGATTCAGGTCTGCGTGTTCCTACTCTTCGCCACGTCGTTCTTCCTTTACGCAACCTTGACAAGATCATATATGACCCTCAATCTATCAACGAAAGGAGTTCCAAGAGGCGACAGCATCGCCACACAAATCCTTGTAAACAACGGTATCGCGCTATATGCGACCTGGTGCACGATTGCATCTCTTCTTAACCTTGCAATGGCGATTACTTACTTTCACGGCGTCGATCAAGATGTTGCCTCCACTATCTCGCTCGTGATTCTCGCTTTGGAGGTTATCGTGTGGTTTTCGCTAGAAAACACTATCTTGGACAAGTATGTGAGGAATACTCTTAGCGTCTATCCTGTCGTCATCTGGGCCCTCTCAGCAAGCATCTCCAAAAACTGGGATCCAGCGAAGAGAAATTCCGTCATTTCGGTGGTCTTGCTGGCTGTGTCCTGTACTNACAGCATTGCCACACAAATCCTTGTAAACAACGGTATCGCGCTATATGCGACCTGGTGCACGATTGCATCTCTTCTTAACCTTGCAATGGCGATTACTTACTTTCACGGCGTCGATCAAGATGTTGCCTCCACTATCTCGCTCGTGATTCTCGCTTTGGAGGTTATCGTGTGGTTTTCGCTAGAAAACACTATCTTGGACAAGTATGTGAGGAATACTCTTAGCGTCTATCCTGTCGTCATCTGGGCCCTCTCAGCAAGCATCTCCAAAAACTGGGATCCAGCGAAGAGAAATTCCGTCATTTCGGTGGTCTTGCTGGCTGTGTCCTGTACTTTGTTAGTCGTCCGTATTGTCATTGTGGTATGGAGAGGAAAGAAGCAAAAACGGCAAGATGTAAACGGTTCAAAAATGTTCTTGACTTAACCAACTAAGAGGAACATTACACAGGCCAGGGAGGGGAGGTTAAAGGACTGCTCCCCAGTCCCCAATTTTCCCCGGTCGCGTCACATTTTCTTCAAAGACGTAATGTACATTTATAGACTGTCTATTTCATTAGCAAATTTGATGAAGACTTTATCCTAGCCTCGTGATTATTTGGACAATTGTTGATTGATGATGTTTTAGCTGAAATATTACCAGATCGTTAAAATTTAAGTTGCGGTAAAGCCATCAAACTAGTAATTACAGTAGTTTTGTATGCAGAGTCCTTGCGTTCATTCTCAGTGGGTTGTCCTCAGAACTGAATCAGGGTCGCGTTAACTTTACAACTGAAAAGGGTAATGATTGGCCATGGAAACTCGCCATACAATTACCTCATGAAAAGTAACATACGGTACCTGAGACCAGTGTGTCCCTACAAAAAGGTTCACTCAATGTTCCAATCTTGACAACTGACTGAGAGGCCCAAGGAAACTGGTGTGGCCTGGTGATATTCAAAGTAGATATCAGTTAAAGTAGCAAGAAAAAAAAAGAGTAATAAGAGATGCAATTATTTAAGACCTTGGCCCTCCTTCAGATGCAGTTATTTTATTTTTTGACATCTTACATTTTTATCCAAAACTTTGTACTCAGCTCTATTTAAAGCACATGCAATGTGGCACTTGTCATCATTTTTTTTTTACTGAAATCAGCATTTGTCTCTTGTTAAACATCATACGTTTCTGTCACAGGAAAAGAAATTTTTTGTTTTTCACAGTGGGCTACCTGTGCGAAGGATGGTCTCAATTCTAAAGTCTTGAAGGAACACAATCAGCAAAATTGGTAATAGATATATTATGCCGTTTGTTCCTAATTAAGAATCAGGAAATTGAGAGATTTTATAGTACACTGAACCTTAATATAATGTTAAGGAATATATAATTTAAGAGCTTTTGCTTTACAACTTGGATAATATTTTTAGGTGTAAAAATTTTATGTTCAGAACATCCCAAGATTGATTCTCTGTATTTACGTTATGCTTTTATTCATGCATTAAAATTTTTTAGCTTCTTATATAGTCCCAGATATAACTGAACAGAGGTTTATATGCCGAGTTAGAGGTAACATAAACAAATATTATTTCAACATTTTTCTGGGCAAAAATTTGTGTCCCCTGAATGGAGGTGTCCCTTGATAAAAGTGCGTCCAAGGAGGAGGCTCACAGTATTGAGCACCTGTGCAAACACTAGACACTTGGCTTCACACTAGAAGCTAAGTTTGTTTTAAGTGAGCACTTGATTCAAGTGCACAAGACAACAACTTACTTTTTCTTTTCTTGAACTTTGATACAATCCTTTAGAATTCAACTCCAAAAAAATTTGCCAACATTTGACGAATTAAACGAGATAGAATAAGCGCGATAAAGTTAGAGGCAGCGCGAACTCACTTTTTAAGTGACGTTTTCGTAGCCCTCCCCTCGTTGTTGCACAAGCTCCCTAATAGGGACTTTAAGGAAGATTCAAGGGCGCGACGACAACGAGAACCTCGCTTAAAAAGTGAATTTGTGTTCCTTCAGTCTTTATAGCGATTATTCCTACCCACTTACGTTCTCAAATGTAGGCGAACCCTGTTGAAGCTGAATTTATTTCAAGTGACCATATCCAAGCTCAGAAAGAGGAATAAAATTTCGTCGTTGCTTGTTTACGTGCTCCATAGAACCCGAAATTAAGTATTTTCACGTCGTAGTCGTGCAAAAACGGGAAAGAAATGTTTTAAAAAAGTGTGATCCACCTGCAAAGTTGTTGTTTTGCTTATTAAACCTATTGTTTTTTTGACATTCATTAAAGTCCCCATTAAAACAACCAAGTGATGTTCCGATGATGTACAAGGAGCCAGTTTTATTTCTCGAACTTAACCATTGATTCAGAAGTAAAGAACGATTACCTTATTAATAAGAATACAACTCCTAGTATAGTTTTAACTGTTTTAGGAGTATATTGATTAAAACATTTAAGGGATAATATTTATGCTCATAGCCTGTGGGTCCGAATAGTGAATTCGAAGAAATCAAAAGAAGACGGCGCAGGTCGTTTGGCGGTTCGGGCTCAGGGCAACCAAAGCTCAATTTTTGTCTGTTTTCAATAATAACCCAGGTTCCTTTAAATTTAAAGGATTGACTTCTAGTCAGTTTTGGTCTTCTTTTATCAACTCCAAGAAATTTAGCCCTTATTTGTAGTCTTAATAAGCGTTACAAGAAAATAAGAAAAAGCGGGAATGCAAATTTGGAATGGAAAAGGGCGCACTGTTATAGTAAAATAGCCTTTGACAATGTATTAATTTTGTTACAATACTCTGTATCAAGAGATCATGACTGTATTATTAAAAATTACTGTTATATTAGAACAGCTCATTACTTGTGATAAAATTAAGGTTTATAAGTTGAGTAAGCTCACTAATGATCGAGCCCAAGTCTCATGAAGCCGGCTGAGCAACAGTATAGAAAACGCTATCCGCCTACACAATATTTTTACACTATGTACACGACCTAATATCACATATTATTCCAGCTCATGCAAAAAGGACCCGTAGCGTGGAAGTCTATCACATTTTTTTCAAATCTCCCTTCCAAAGTCACCCGAGAATAAGTTGGGAATCTGGGAACGAAATTACCTCAAATAAATTTGAAAACTCGCTTAAATTCGGCATTCTTCAGACACTGGATCGGACGGAGCACTGGATTTATTTCGGTGAGCTTATTTTCAGCGTTTGTAGCAGTATTTTAGTGTATTTAAAACAATATCTACAACGAAAAATTAGTAATACGGCCCGTTATAATCGGAATTTTTTTTAAGTGACGACAAAGTATCCGAGACCCTTACCGGGTAATATTTATTACCCGTGATTGGTACCAATACTACAGCTGTGCGCTGTTTTTCCCGTCATCTTTTTTAGTCTCCAGTTCGATTGGAATAACTCGACACAGGGAATTGGTTAAACGGAAGTTTTGGTGGGTATAATAAGATATTTAATTCACTTCAAGTGAATATGCATTCCGTATAAATTCGATGGCACCTGCGGGTTCATAGCGATTTTCGCACAAAAAGAATATTCTTTAAGTTTCATGTCAGTTCGTGAGTATTTAAGATAACTTACATTCTGGCGTTACTACTCTCTCGTTTGCCCGACATAACAAGCCGCTGATATATTCAGCAAGACTGAAAACGGTCCTATCGCCGATTCAAACTTGCCCTGGACCGGACACTGACTAGAGAGGGCATGAACACAAATGGGCAATGTTACTGTGACATTATGCATTGCACCGCATAAATTTTAAACTTTTTTAACATTAAAAAAAATGAATGGAAACATTGATATAATTTCATTCTGTTTTTACTTTAATTGCTTTGTTTGTTTTTTTGTTTGTATTATTCATCCATTCGGAATTCCTTCACATTTACCGTGTTTATAATTTCCACATATACCCTTAAAAGCTTTATCAGATTGCGCTTCATTGCGGCAAATCGCTCAGCTTCAAAGGAATCTGCACCTTCGAAAAACCAAGTCTGACGTACATTATTTCTTTGTTGCATTGATTACAGAATACCGCTTAATACAAAGTACATAATGCATTTTCTGGTCTTATTTTGCTCTCGTATTTTCAAGGTAAAAAAATTAGCATCCTGTTATCATAACAGTCATATATCCATAACAACAGCATGCAACGGCTTTAGTAACACTAGGCCGGTTTATACGACGGGATTTGTTGGCGCGATGTTGACTGATATTCAAAGGAAAGGCCAAAATGAAATCTATTGCAATGCAACAGAATTTAAAAAATCAGGCCGATGTCTGTGTCTGCGCCTAAAAGTCTGACTGACAATAGCGTGAATAACGGTCTTCAGTATACACCGCGGTCGCTTACACGACGTTTACTAGAGGTTCCAACTGTAAGGCTTTGATTGGGAAAATTTTGGTGTTTTGCATTGGCGGTTGCTTACGGGAGGTGGTCGCACATGACGGTTCGACTGTATGATAAAGTACTTTTCCTTTATACAAATACTACACAGGAGAGAAGGATGGTACTAAAATTACGTTGTAGGAAAAACCTTCGCGGCTTAATGTCGTAGATTTTTTAAGGGTGTGAAACTTCTTGCTGAAACATTGTTGGCACCGAAATATTCAGAAAGAATAGAGTACGTAGTACAGAGCAGAAACCAAAACAACAGGTGTCTACTCAAAGACACTTTTAAAATCACCTTGTTGTAATTATAATATAATTTCTAAATAGTATGTGAGGAATACTCTTAGCGTCTATCCTGTCGTCATCTGGGCCCTCTCAGCAAGCATCTCCAAAAACTGGGATCCAGCGAAGAGAAATTCCGTCATTTCGGTGGTCTTGCTGGCTGTGTCCTGTACTCTGTTAGTCGTCCGTATTGTCATTGTGGTATGGAGAGGAAAGAAGCAAAAACGGCAAGATGTAAACAGTTCAAAAATGCTCTTGCATTAACCAACTAAGAGGAACATTACACGGGCCAGGGAGGGGAGGGTAAAGGACTGCTCCCCAGTCCCCAATTTTCCCCGGTCGCGTCGCATTTTCTGCAAAGACGTAATGTACATTTGTAGCCTGCCTATTTCATTAGCAAATTTGATGAAGACTTTATCCTAGCCTCATGATTATTTGGACAATGGTTGATTGATGATGTTGTAGCTGAAATATTACCAGATCGTTAAAATTTAAGTTGCGGTAAAGCCATCAAACTTGTAATTACAGTAGTTTTGTATGCAGAGTCCTTGGGTTCATTCTCAGTGGGTTGTCCTCAAAATTGAATCAGGGTCGCATTAACTTTACAACTGAAAAGGGTAATGATTGGCCTTGGAAACTCTCCATACAATTACCTCATGAAAAGTAACATACGGTATGCGAGACCAGTGTGTCCCAACAAAAAGGTTCACTCAACGTTCCAATCTTGACAACTGACTGAGAGGCCCAAGGAAACTGGTGTGGC